ACAAGAAGTGAGTAAGTAACATAACTTGGACAGTGTTTCTTAAACAGCTGTAACAGTCTAGCTCTGGGAGCATATTGATTGTGTTGTATATTTAGTGTGAAAACACAGCAATATGTACTGACTGAAAATCCTAAGGAGACCTTGCTTACTGATGTCTGAGCATTGTGTGTGCACATAGGTATATAAATGATAATAACATAGAAAATAAAGAATATATATAATAACTTGGACAGTGTTTCTTAAACAGCTGTAACAGTCTAGCTCTGGGAGCATATTGATTGTGTTGTATATTTAGTGTGAAAACACAGCAATATGTACTGACTGAAAATCCTAAGGAGACCTTGCTTACTGATGTCTGAGCATTGTGTGTGCACATAGGTATATAAATGATAATAACATAGAAAATAAAGAATATATATATGTAATATATACAGATAATCTGGTAGAACATTGAGTTTCTTTCACAGACTGCAGACAGTACAGCTGGGAACCACGTACATGACCCACATTTCTTCTGAAACTCACCATCTGAACAAGGGCTTGTACATACAAAACATATTCAGTATTTTCTTAGCCCTCTGTGCTCCGAGCATTTAAAGAGGTGTTTTAACTTTAGATCAGGTACCATTCTGTGCTTCTCTATGTCTAATAGAGTATGGCTTTATTTTAAATGGCATTTTTCCTCCATGCCTTTTTGTGTTTGACAAACCTGCTGGAGTGAGAAATCACTTTTGCAGTGGACTTCCATACACATTCTTGGCAGGAGCAGGGGAAGAGCAGGTAGAGAGGAGCAGTGTGGTTCTGGAGTAGTTTTGCTCACAAGCATTCAAGAGACAGACTGGATTTCAGAACTGCTGCTGCCTAAACCTGAAAGCTTTTCTTTAGAGGCTGAGGTGAACCTTTCTGCTACAAGGATTTCTGCAAGGCTTTCTGTCCCTTTCTGCCATCTTTTTTTAGAATAACTGTTGAAAGAGGTTTTTTTATAAACATGGAAAGCTGTTCTCTAAGAAAGAGGACACAGTGTGTAGTTCAGCAAGAGGCACAGCCAAGAAGGAGGGAGGTGTATGTTGGATCTTGGCTGGGATGCTGTATAGCTAAGGAGTAATGGAGATGATGGTGGATGTGATTTCTTGCAATGTTCTACATATGGAAAATTCAGGTTTTTTTTAAACTCTGGGCAGACTGAGGAAGAAAGTGTCGAGTAGTGGCAAAATGTGATGGTCAAAGATAAAGGTTTGGCAGGGTATTTGGAACCCCATAGCTAGTAGTGGCCATTCCCAGAGCGGTAGGCTGTAGCAGTTCTTGGCTTGAGTGCTCACCCCAGGCAGATCCCTTCAGCAAGATGAATGTCAGGACACTGCAAACATGCCACAATGGCATTGCTGGTTCCATTGGCTGCTCTGTTGAACTGCAGTGAGTGGTTAACTTCAGGCAACCTTGTGAAGGTCTCAGGTGTCAGGGATGACCTCATGGCTTGTCAGCTTCATTGCTCTTGCAAAATCCTTCTGCTGCTACTATACCTTTCTCTTGTGTTGCTTTTCTTGCTTGTTTGACTTCCTCTGTGTGAGCAGGCATGTGATGTCTGTCAGTTGTTTGCTCTTTGACCCTTCCAGGCCTGGTGCTAGTAGCCTGTTCTGTTGTAGGGAACGGGACGGTGTATCCAAATGAACAGTGACTTCTGTTCCTAAGAAACCAGATCAGGCTTCATGCAAATCATAGAAACAACCAGGCTGGAAAAGACCTCAAAGGTCATTAAGTCCAAGCCTATTGTGGTTCCTAGACCTTGGCACTAAGTGCCACATCCAGTCTCATCTTGAAAACCTCCAGGGATAGTGAATCCACCACCTCCCTGGGCAGCCCATTCCATTGCCTGATCACTCTCTCCATAGAAGATCTCTTTTAATATCCAACCTAAACCTCCCCTGGCAGAGCTTGAGTCTGTGCCCTTTTGTCCTACTGCTGGTTGCCTGGCAGAAGAGACCAACCCCCACCTGACTCCAACCTCCTGTCAGGGAGTTGTAGAGGGTGATAAGGTCTCCCCTGAGCCTCCTCTTCTCCAGGCTGAACACCCCCAGCTCCCTCAGCCTCTGCTCATGGCACTTGTGCTGCAGTCCCTTCACCAGCCTCACTGCTCTTCTCTGGACTCTTCTACTACTGACTTACAAGTTTCTTCAAGATTCTGTCCTTTAGCTTCCCTATCTGTAAGGCTTTCCTGCATTTTTTAAAATTGAGAACTTTCAGTATGAAGAGCCGTTTCAAGAATTGTTTTGTGTAGTGACTGTGAGATCTCAAACATATAGAAAGTATAAACTGTAATTTTGCAGACCTGCATCAGGTAAATGCACAGGAGACATTTGAGGAAGCTGCCATCTCATGCAAGCATTGTGGTAATAATAGTTGTCTCCCCGCAGATGTTCCTGTACTTTGGTGAGCTCGGACTGGCTACCTGCTCTGCTGACCACCTCATCATTTTGTGGAAGGATGGTGAACGGGAGTCCAGCCTGCGCAGTCTGACTCTGTTCCAGAAATTGGCTCAGAATGGTGATTTGCAGCTCAAACCCTAAACTGCTTGAACACAGGCTGCACAGATACAAACTGGATGTGTGTTAAATGTGGGTGTAGAGGACGTCTGAGCTGCTTACACTTAATGTCACATGTTACATTGGAAATTTTATTAGTTGCTGCTACTCAAAGGAGAATCCTGCATGTTGAAACTTGGCTCACTCTGTCAGCAGAAATGGTGTTCTCTTAAAAGACTGAAGGTAATGATGACTCATTAAATAGCTTTTGATATTATTCTTAATGTTTAAAATGACCATAGGCTGAGAGACTTGAGGCTGTTCAGCCTGGACAAGAGAAGGTTGTATGGAGATCTCATAGCACCTTCCAGTATCTGAAGGGGCTCCAGGGAAGCTGCAGAGGGATCTCTGTTAGGAACTGCAGGGACAGGACAAGGAGTAATGGGGAGAAATTGAAAGAGGGAAACTTAGATTAGATATTAGGAAGAAGTTTTTTCCTGTGATGGTGGTGAGACTGGCACAGGTTGCCCAGGGAGGCTATGGCTGGTTCACAACCAGGCTGGATAAAGCCTTGAGCAACCTGCTCTGGTGGGAGGTGTCCCCGCCCAGGGCAGGAGGCTGGGACTAAGATGACCTCTAAGGTACATTCCAACCCCTAAAATTCTACAATTCTATGAAACTATGATGTCAAAATCAAGATTTATGAAAATCCTTGGATGGGTCATAACTAAAGCAGTTGGAGCATCCATGGTGGTATATCCACAAAGGACGCTTGGGAAGAAATCTGCAACTTCCTGCTTTATCTAATGTATTTCTAGAAACTAAACTTTCTTCTCTAGTGGCTTAGAATTATGTATCTACAGAAAGGCCCAAAAGAAAGAGTTCTTAAATATAATTTTTGCATTTGAAGTTACTCTCCTGTGCCAAGGGTAAGAGCAAGAAATAAATGAAGGCAATGCTGGTTTGTCAGGGTTTAATTATTGGCAGAGTGAGGTATATAGGTATTGCTTGCCTGCAGTAGCTGCAGTTCTACTGTGAATTAGCCTACACTACTGGAGTTTGCACAGCACCATTACCATGTCTAGCATGAAGTGTGATTGGTTTAGCTTAGTCTTTCCACGTGCATTCATCACACTAATTTGTATCTAATAAAAAGCATTGGTCTTACCATGGATTTTCAGGATGTAAAATACTTTCTTAAGCAGTAGCAGTTGATGTGTCCCATCACAGCAAAACTGTGTTATGCCGTGTGAATACTTAATTCTCAGTGAAGTCCAAATTCAAGAGAAGCCTGCACCAATTTTGTGAGGGTAAATAGTATTTTAGAGTGTAAAAATAAAGAGCGTCTGAGTACACAGTGTCTCTTTTAAGCCTGAGATAGGAACAACAACCTGCAAGCTGAACAGGAGTAGGGAAGCAAACACAAACTAAAACCCCAGATTACAGCAACAAAAACCCCAAAGCAAAAAATACTAAAATAAATAATGCAAAGTTAAACCCAGAACTGATGCAGAGCAAACATGAGTGAGGAGGAGATAATGAGTGGTAAGGTACCATTCCAACAAAGAAGAGCTGTGGAAAGGGAGAGTTTGGGACCTTAGTTTTTGTAAAACCATGTAGAAGAGGGTGTTGCTGCCCTCAGGTCTGCTCAGAAGATCCAGCACTGAAATGGTTTAGGAGTAAGTCTTGTGCGGCTTTTCAGTGCCATCTCTTCCCTTTGAATCAATGAGAATTTCTTTCAGTACAGGAGACTACAGGGCTGTAATTCCAGACTTAAGATGCACTGGTCGCAGCAAGTGCAATTAAACTAAAGGTCTAAGCAGATCCTGATGAGAGCAGAAGCAAAAGGAGGAAGCTCCAGTTTCATTGCAGAAACCAAGGAGCCTTTCAGATTTGCTTCCCTCAGCTCCTGTGGGGACTTGCCTTCCTCCTACCACCCAGAAGCCAAGATCTGCCTCTTGAGTGTGACCATAATCTTCTCTGGAAGGCAGAGGGACAGCAATATTTTGGCTCTGTTTTCCCTACCTTATTCAACTTGCACAGCTAATCTTAATTTGAGTATAGAGCTCAAAATAACATATTTCAAAACCACAAAACAGATGGAGAAATTGTTAAATCACCCTCTCCTGTCAGCTCAGGAAGGTTAAATCAGTGTTAAAACCTGAGCTGCACGTTCTTTGCTCAGGTTGGCTATTCTGTGGAGCAGAGTAGGATTGACTGGATTAGAGCTGAGGATAACATCCTCCTGGGTACATGGTATGAAACTCGAGGGAGGTGAGCATGTGAAATCTGCATTGCTTCAGTTTGTCTTCGTCAGCAAGTGTTGCATTTTTTGCTACCCCAGGACAAGTTGGGGAGATAAAGTTTCTCTTTGGCTCTTTTTTCCTTGTTTCAATTGAGAAATAGCTGTTCAGTTGTACATAAAGTGTGTGTTTGCACATTGATACTAAACCTTTACACTGAAAGCTTATAAACTTAGGTTTTTTTGGAGAGGCTACTGCTGTCCTCAGTTGCAACTAGAGAGAAGGAACATATTTTTATTATCTCTTCCTGTGCCATGACAACAACTATTTCCTTTTTATGTGATTGCTTTTAAGTGAATACCTGGTAGAGAAACAGACCTATTTAACAGAATAGTTCTAGTCACAAAACTCACGGTGCATTTTACAGGGATGTAATTCAGCTATAACAGTCCTGTATGCATGTATTAATATTTATATCTATCAAAAGTGCCATTGCTCTCACACACTCTCCAGTGGTAATAGATCTCCCAGAGGTCTCTTCCTTTAAAGATGGTTGAGTTGAAAGTATTGAGTTTTGATTTACAAATGAACTTCAAGCCTAACAGTGAACATAGTAAGGCTTTGCCATCCCACTCCTGTACAATGAGAGTTTGTCACTTGCTGTTGGGAGGTGCAGTGAGCAGAACTATGGTGAACAGATGAGAACTTTGTGCTTCTGGCTGTCCTTCTAAACTTCTTTCTCCACCTTGCAGTAATGCAGAATTCACAGAATCAGTCAGGTTGGAAAAGACCTCTGAGATCATCAAGCCCAACCTATGACCAAATTCCATATGTTCTCACCATCAAAGTAAATGTCTGTATCAGACCTTGACACTTGTACAGCTCTGAGGTGGCTGTTGTGCATATCTGTGCACTGACAGTAGCATGGCACAAGCAGCTGTTAATGAACTGGGCTAGTCTAGGAGATCTGACACAACTGGCAGATGACAACTAATCTGTTTTGCTCTTAAAGAGGACCTAACTCCACACAAATTGCTTTTGTTTGGGAAGAAACACAGGATCTTGCCACCAATACACTGATTCCACATTAATGCTTTGGCCTTAGTTCTGGTTCACAAGTTGAACTTTATTGTTTAGCTTCCTTCCACCGTTCACATTTTCTTCCTTGTGACAGAAGTGTGACAAAAGTAATGAGCTGAAATGCTTTACATGGATGTGGTCTTACAGTGTTGCTGTATTTGACAAATTAAATGAAGGTAACAAAGCTTTGAGTCTTGGGGAGTTCTTTTCTCTAACGCAAGCTGCAGTGAGTGTTCAGTTATCAGAACAAGTAAGGTACAACCACCGAGAGCACTAGTTCCAAATGAAGGAATGGTCAAAGCAAACAGTTTACAGTATTAAAAAACAGAGGTCGACCTCATCTGAATAAAAACCCCATTGAAGAATGTTGCCATAGGTCATAGGAAAGAACGAACTAAACATGCTTCAACAGAGACACAACTCTTCAAATATACACAATGCAGCATTTTAATACACAGCAACCTGCCTTAGCTATGACAAAAGTAAGGGATCTGTTACAGTTTAACAAAAATAGAGCTTATATACATTTCTCTGCACATACATTTTATGAATGTTTTCCTTTTTGTTTCAGAACTTGGTACAAAACATACAAAAAAGGTTGGCACGTTATGTAAGCTACCTGCAGCCAACAGCACTGTCACTGTTCCTCCACAGCAACCTCAGTGCTGTTTGCTTGTTATTTCTCCTTCACTTCAATTCTTGATACAGCACAGGGGAGCTGAATGTGTCTCAAGACCTTTCCACAAGCAGTGCACCTGCTTCTTCACCTGCAGCCACAGCTTTGACAGACCTGCTTGCAGCCTGGAGTGCACAGTGTTAAAAATCAGCAGTTCTGCTAGTATTTGTTAACTGAATAGTCTGAGAAATAGTCTAAAATCTGAACTAATGTTCTGCACGTGATTAAAATGAGATGTACAAAAATATGCATTTGTGCTTTGAAAGCCTTAGCATAACCTTCATATCTTAAAACAAAAAAAAACCAAAACCAACCTATGTTTGATTTCTAACTTATTTACAAATTTTGAAGTACTTTTTACATCACAGAACAAAACAGCATTTTATCGGGGAGGGGGGAAAGCAGTACAAATTATAATGCTGCTATAAATTATAGTCTGGAAACTTCTTCTTTTTAAAAAGCAACAGGTTCATCCTAGGAGGGGGTAGCACAATATATGGACTCACCATAAAATTTGGATCAGTGTAATAAAAATGATGGCCATGTGTACAAACACCACTGTATAAAAAAGGATGGTGATCAAGTGCCACGATAGGGTGTTTTTTGTGTAAAGCTTGATGAGATCTTGCATGGTAACATCTGTAAGATGGCAGAGAACCATGTGGACGGCACCAGCTATACAGAATATGCTTATTTTCCTTCATATGATCAATTTTAGGGGACTTCAACTCCTGATCTGTAAAACAGGTGGTGCTCTGAGAGAGCCTCTATAATAAAAAGGTTGTTTTAAAAGGTGCCAGGTTTGGTGTGTTTATTTTACACTGTATCCAGTTTATTGTTGTGCATGTTCTCTTCAGAGTTATGGTTCAGAAAGCTGAAGAACATGGATAAAATTGGAGCAAATTTATGCTAGATAAGTGGGAGGTTTTTATGCTTATCAGGCCATTCTGAATCTACTTGGTGACCTATCCCTGTGAGAAACAGCTGTGTGAAGTGTTAGTGAACAGTTGTATCAATTGCAAGGTTCAACAAATGCCTATTCAGTATTAGAAATTAGTTTCAGAAGTACATTTTCTGCCACAAAATAGTATTTCCAAAGAGCACTTAAGTCATCTGTGGGTTATATAGCCATTCTGAAAACAATTTTTTCCTGTAGATTTCAGAGAAGCTTAAAAATGATGAATAAAATATTTCCTTCTTGTCACACAGTCTGAAATTTCACTGGAAAGGAAACATCATCCCCTTTGTAGTCAAGAGTCTGTAAGTGATTCACAGTGAAACTGGTAGAGCAAGAGGTCTGGTTTTCTCGACTTGAGTGTCAGTTGTTGTTTTCTGATGGGAGCCTGAGACTCTTGCATTTTAAATCATCCAGTGTTTTCCAGTGTTTGTAGTTATTAGCCAAGTGCTGCATCAAAACAGGCAGGTGTGCAAATGCTGAAAAGAACAGGAGAAACAGTTCCATATTCAGGACAGGCACAAGAAGCCCAACCGCAGCTGAAATTGACATTCTCCTACTCTTTTGTTCCTTCAGCTCCTTAAACTAATACTAAAAGGGGAAAGATGTGCTTTTTTAGTCCCTCTTTCAAGAAAATCACCTTTTTTAATGCATGATGACTATTAAATCATGCTGACATGCAACCACAGTGGTCTCAGTTTCTGCTGCTCAGAAGAAATACACTGCCAAAGGAAAAAAAGATATAGATGGAAAAAGCTTAGTTTTAAGCCAAAAAAGCTTAATTTTAAGCCATTATTCCTCTTTTACATGGATTTCCTGGTGTGTGCTCAACTCTGTACAACTTTTGTGTGTGGTGAAACAGGCTTCAGCAGCATCTCTGCACAGATCCTGTGCTGTACTGCTTCTATATGGGTACTGCCCCTGAAAAAAGTGTACTCAAGGTCAGTTTGAGATGAGTCATTTCAGTCTGTAGGAGCCTATACCTCAGAGCATGGAAGGAAAAAGCTAAAGTACTCACCATCCCACGCATCAAACATATCTGTTATAAAGTAATCAATGAAGGAGATCTGAGACTTGGGGATGCTGCAGGTGTTTCTGTCAAACACTGGCATCACAACAGGCAGTCCCTGTCTCTTCTCTTCATCAGTCTAAGGAGACAAAACTCCAGTTAGCCCCTAGAGCTCTGCTGACATTCATGCTGGAGCAGCAAAGGCCTAGGGGGTTAGGTGAACTGCAGAAGGAGATTTGAGACAGACCTTGGAGGTGAACTGCCTTAGCTCCATTTGCTTCACTGCCTCTGGAACAGGGGCTGGAATCAACATCTCTTCCCTTTCACAAGCACTCTCTAACTGTAGTGCTGTGATTGCACTTAGCTCTGGCAAGACAGAAAGCTCTAATCTGGTGATTAGGGAACACCAGCTAAACCATGGAAAATGGTTGCTGAGTCCTTTAGCAGAGGACAGGTTTGATTTCACCTTTGTTTCCACCTCTCAGTGGCTGTTTCAAACCTGTTGTCCTCTGAAGTAAGAAGAAGCTGTTGCTGATGCTGTTTTTTTCTGCTGGTATCAGGTTATAGGATGAATGGAGGTAAAGGTCTGCCCTTTAACTCTGTCCACAACTGGAAAAAGCCTGGGTTTGCACTCAGTGTGGTGGAGGATAAAACCACCTCTACAGTTTCCTAGAATTTAATTACCAAAGAATTCCCATTTTAAGTAGTACAGGCAGCACCTAATGCTGGAATTGGCAGCAGAGCAGTGCCCAGAACTAGCAGATGAGGTGAATGAACATCAGAACAGCTCTCAACACCTCACATTGCTCCAAGCAGACTACTGCCTATGCTGGGCAATTTAAAGCTAGCTCATGATACCTTGACTGAAAGGGAGATACAGCCTAAGTGATGCCTGATCTTACTTAGGATGTGACAGAATTTATTCACTATGATTAAAATGAAATTCAGACATGTTGTGGGTACTATTTACAATTTTCTTTCAGTAATAACTATCACATGTATGACTTGAATTTGGAGAGTGGCCTTGCCTGCTTTTATGTCTCTCCACTCATAGCTTCCACCATTACTGCAGATAAAAGCTAAGATTTTATCACCTGTTCAAATAAAGAGCTAAAAGTGTGTTTCACTTTCAGGAAGCTGATGCATTTCTATTGGAAAAATGAGTATGAAGAAAGGAAGTTGAGCTTCCAGTTCTGTCTGGAAAGATCCTGTGTGATAAGTACTTACACTGTCCACATGGCTGCACTACTGGCCTGGCACATCATCTGCCTACAGTGACAATAGCTCGGGTGCCACCTTAGAAGAGAAAGGGGCATCCCAATGGTTCAGTGAGGGCTGCATCTGGCATGGGTTGCCATGTATCTCCATGGAATGCTCCAGGCTGGGGCAGAGTGGCTGGAAAAGGCCCTAGGGGTGCTGGTGACAGCAGCTGGCTGGACATGAGCTCAGGTGTGCCCAGTTGGGCAAGGGGCCAATGGCATCTGGTCTGTACCAGCTGCACTGTGGGCTCAGGACCAGGGCAGTGCCTGTCCCCCTGCACCTGGCACAGCTGAGGCTCCTCAAGTGCTGTGTCCAGTTCTGCACCCTCACAGCAAGAGTGACACTAAGGGGCTGAGCATGTCCAGAGAAAGGATGGAGCTGGGAAAGAGGCTGGAGCACCAGGAGAGGCTGAGGGAGCTGGTGGGGCTGAGCCTGGAGAAAAGGAAGCTCAGGGGAACCTTCTTGGTCCCCACAGCCACCTGACAGGTGCAGCCAGTTGGGGTTAGGCTCTGCTCCCAGGGAGCAAGTGACAAGACGAGGAAACAGCTTCAACCTGCACCAGGGGAGGTTTAGGTTGGACATCAGGAGGAACTTTTCCATGGAAAGGGTTGTCAGGCATTGGAAAGGGCTGCCCAGGGCGGTGCTGGAGTCACCATCCCTGGAGCTGTTTGAGGAGAGACTGAATGTGCCACTTGGTGCCATGGTCTGGTTGACATGGTGGTGTTAGGTCATAGGCTGGACTTGATGATCTCCAAGGTCTTTTCCAGCCTCAATGATTCTGTCATTCACACTCTCTTCAGGGAAGGTACTGGAACTAGAAGCTTGGATGATGATGGTCTTGAATTTCAGCCAATTAAACTGACTAAGGCTAATCAAATCATTTTGTTTCAGCCACATGGAGAAAGCTGAAAGCATAAAACCTCCTTTCCATCATTCCGTACCATGAGCTTCATGGAAAGCAAACTAGCTAACTGCCTGGTGTGAGTTCTGTGTGAAATTGTGGGAGCAGTTCTGACTGGGGACAGGAAACACACTTCTGGACCATGTAGTGACAGCAGGCAGACCCTGTGTGGAACAGCAGAGCAGACAATGTGCACTTTCACCCAGAACATTAACAGTCATCTTACAAAAACACACATACCTGTGCAAAATACTCCTCTGAAATCCTCCCTGCCCACTCGATGCACAGCTCCAGGGGGCGACAGGGGTTTGCTACGTCTGCACATTTAATCATCATGCGCTTGATCAGGGTCTGGTTGTCTGGGAAGTTCTTTATGTTGGCTGTGCATTCGGCGTCGCTGCCCTCGCTCTGTGAAGGAGAGTTGGTTACAGGGGGCAGTGGCCAACATCCCCAACTAGCAGGATTGAGGGTGTCATTACGAGCTCCTACTGGTTAGCAGGCACCCAGCCTGCTGCCTTCTAATTTCATGCAGAGCACAGTTTGGAGGAGAAAATTATGTCTGAGGACTGCAGCTCTGCTAAGTGACTAATGATATTCCCAGTACGTACAACAGTGGTGAAGATTCTCAGAACTCACAGCAAAGTTTGTGAAATAAAGAGCCTCTTTATGAGGAGGATGGTACCTTTTCTGCATCCCAGCCTTGCCCTGTTGGGAGAGGACCATGATAGGGGATACATCCACCATGCAAGCTGATAAGCAATCCTCAATGCTGAGTGTTTAAGGGGTTGGTGATGGTAGGGGACTGCTTGATTTAGAGCAGTTTCTAGAGTTTGACTTTAACACCTAAATGAGAAAACTGAGGCAGGCACAGGGGGGTGACCTGACTTTCATGATTGTTTCTTTTATAGGCAGAGAATCTCGTCTCTGCCATTCAGTTTCAGTATGTTTGCAAGCAAAACTGCCTTCTTTGTGCCCGATTTTGAACCCTCAGCCTGGAATAACCTCTGGTCTTAGTCCCCAGATGGGGTGAAGGTCTTAGATAATCTATGAGATTAACAGTAATGTGAAGTATTAGATAATCTACAAGATTAACAGTAGGAAAACACACGAGTAGCAGCAGACTGACTGGAGAAAGTCTCTGCTTGTTAGACAGTAAAATACCAAACTGTTTACTGACTGCTCTGGAGAGCAGGTGGAGGTGACAAGGTAGTTGTTACAAGTCTGCTGTGGCATTATATTGTGGGTCTTGAACAGTCTGGGAAGGCACAGGTGTATTATGTTCCTTATGGAGTAATAAAAAGACTCTACCTCAGCTCCCCATGGCATTAACACTGTTCTCAAAATAATGCATTTGTGTAATTATGGCCTCCCTGCACTGCTGAATTCAACTCAAAAACTGAACATAAGTACTTTGTACCACCATGACTAAATTAATGTCTTTGTGGTTTATAGGGAACTATTTTTCAGTGACTTTTGCCAATTCAGGCATTAATCTTCTGACTTTATGTTTGGCAGTTAATTCTTTCTCAGCAAGGGCAGCCCAGCAAAGAGGTGCCAGATTAACTCTCCACCTTAAGTGCTGTTCAAGATCAAAAATAGAAAGAGCCACTGTTAACAGTAAAGAACAGAACAACCTAGTACTGGAGGAAAACAACAAGTCTGTAGTACAAGTGGTTCTGTGCTCCACTTTTGCTGTGAGAGAAGTTCAGCATCATTTGTGACATCCAGCTCGGAGTGTTGGATGTTGGGAAAGTGGAGCTCAGCAGTTCCTAGAAGCAGTCCAGTTCAGCTGACACAATCCTGTCCCTAAAGTCATAAATCCTACCAGTCCTCACTGCTCCCTGCACCCCTGACAGTCTACAGTGCAAAAGGTTCAGTTATGGGCAACTAACAGAAGATACTTCTAATTATTTTTAGTGTCACTGACCTGCAGTTTTCTCTGATTTTGTTTTTTCCAGTGCTCCCAACAAAGCACTGTTTCCACTAAGGTGGGATAAGGTAGTCTTTCCTTAGGTAACACTACCCTGGAGAACTCTGTCAGGCACTGAGTGCTCAGCCTCAAAAGGCAACAAGAGAAGGTGAGAGCAGGATGAGAAACTCAGAGGCAGCTTTTGAAATACACCCTGGTGATGGACCATTAGGGTGTGTAACTGGTAGAAAGAAAGGCCTGGACATCTCTTGGTACAATCAGGCGTGGAGAGGTCTCAGGAAGTTATTTTTCAGGACTTGAAGGCTCCAGACTGCATAGGCACAAAAACATCAAGGCAGGTCCCTCAGTTACAACCCTAGGCTGAGGAAACTGCCACTGTTTGGAGGCAGGACCACACACACAAGTACCAATCTGGCTCCACACACAGAATTTACCACGTGAAAAACCACCCACCCACATAGTTTCTGAATACAAGATGCTGTTGAAGGCAAAACATATAAAATGAAGTATTTAAATGAGCTAAGGGCAGTGCCAGACATAGAAAACAAGAAAATAAAAGTAATTTTTCACACTTTGATGTGTGAGGTCACAAATTCAAGTGTGTCATTTGGGCATTACCACATTGCAAATGAATATAGTGTGAGTGAAAATGATACTTGAGAGTGGAAGAACTTCACTGGAGTGCCTGAGGGTGTAGAGTCCCACAAGCACTCACGTGTGAGCAGGTCTCCTCGGATGCCATGGGCTTGTTGATGCTGTTCACAAATTTGTTCACATGCTCAAAGTGCTTTGTCATCTCTGTTGCCAAAACCATGTCAATAATGGCCTGACGCAGTGTCCGGTAGCGATTCCTAAGAAAGAAAAATGAATTCCTGGTCACAAACCTGCCAGAAGAGCTCTGCCCTGTCCTCATCCCTGCCCAGACTCCGCTACAAAACACTGCTCAGGGGCTGACCCACATGAGCTAGCACCTTCAGAGTCAGGGATACTCCAGGGATGGACTAGATCATACCTTTTCTGAGTTCCTTCGGCCCTGTTATTTTTACCTAGTGAAAATCAACCCCTTGAGGTCAACAAAAATTTACAATTCACAGAATCAGTCGAGTTGGAAAAGACCGCTGAGATCATCAAGTCCAACCTATGACCTAACACCACCACGTCAACTAGACCATGGCACTCAGTGCTATGTCCAGTCTGTCCTTAAGCACCTCCAGGGATGGTGACTCCACCACCAGTTTCATAATGCTGTAACACTAAGACAACTTCTCCAGGAATGGCACCAACATGTGTCCATCTCACTGCATGTTGGCTTGAAACTCAAATCTTAGCTTCTACAAAAACAAAGTGTCATGGGAGGCAGACAAATTCATTATCTGTTTCGGGTCAGGCCCTTTCCCTTTCAGATCTCTTTCTCTCTCAACTTGTCCCTGCAAAACCCAGGCTGAATCAAATCAATGGGAACTCCCAGGCTATGTGCATGAACAACCAGCCACAAGGAGCCTCCAGAGCTCCTCTGCCACCACCCTTTCCATCCCACGTGAACACAGAAGTGCTGGGAAGTATAGGACCTTGTGCAAACACAGCATACAGCATCTAGCTGCTGGGGTGGAAAAACATTCTCCAAAAGGTAATTTCCAGGGTCCAGCAATGAAAAAGCAGTGGGACAAGGTGCAGCTTTGAGGCTGTCAACTGGACCATGCCAATGTAATCCGTAAAAGACTATTAAGCATCTCTGTAAGCTTCCAAAAATTACAAATTGGAAGATGGGGGAATGAAAGCCTTTTAAAAAGTCATGTCTACATAGGATTCTGGAAGAGGTTCAGTATTAATATCTGTGTTTAAATTATATATTCTGGTTTAGAAGGTAGGCCCTCAACTAAAACTACCAAACAAGCAATCCACACATCCACACATGCACACTCCGCTTCTCCAGGAGACCCACCTATCAATATTCTTGAAGATGTTGCATTTGCTGTCTTTAGTTGTCAGCTGAAAGGCCAGTGCTGTGTGATGACTCTCCAACACAGCTGTGTCATTGTAAAGAACAGCTAATTCACTGCCTGCATTGCACAGGAAAGAGTTGGTCCGTCCAGGGTGGTCTACGTCATGAATGGTGGCAGCTATTAATGCAGCTACCTCATCTAAATGGTCCAGACTGCCCTGCAGGAAGAGAAAAAAATCATGATGTGCCACAGAAAATTACAGTAAATATTTTCTGATCATTTCCATGTACCCACAAATACACTGATGTAAGCTTCAGTGGAGGGATCCTACCTCCTTGCAGTGATTTTCCACTCACTGCACCCACACATAACCTACAGCAAAATTCCCTCCCACCCTTACCCAAATTCTCTTTATTTAATGAAGCTTTTTGCCGTTCAGTCATCTAAGCAATATCTTTGGACTCAGCTCTCTAATGGAGAGGTTGTCTAGTGGTTTTCTTACACTTTGTGTGCTCACCTGAATCTCTCTGTATTGACTCTGCTCCTACACACCTTGTGTGTTTTAGAATAGGATAGTATAGACTATTCCAGTTGGAAGAGACCTAAAGTGACCATTAGCCCAACTGCTTAACCACTCTGGGGCTGACTGAAAGTTAAAGTACATTATTAAGGGCATTGCTCAGATGTCCTTTCAACACTGACAGGCTTGGGGTTTGGACCACCTCTCTAGGAAGCCTGTTCCAGGGTTTGACCACTTTCTTGGAGAAGAAATGCTTCCTAATGTCCCATCTGAACCTCCCCTGGCACAGCTTTGAACCATTCCCATCCATCCTATCCCTGGGTACCAGGGAGAATAGCTCATACCTCCCTCTTCAAAGCTTTTGCAAAGCTTTTTAAGAGCTGCTACTAACAGCTAGTTACCAAGACACAAAAAAGAGAGATTTTCCCTCTCTGCCCCCATTATGGCTCCTTAAAAATGTATATTCCTTTCACTAGACTTTAGAGATGCCTGTTGGCATCACAGGGAGACTTCAAAGGCAGAGAGACCATTACTTAAGTGAACATCTGTCTTTTGATGAGTGGCATACACATTGAAATCCTAGCCCAAAAGGACTCCTAGGTGATGGTTCTACCTTAACTCTCTCCTTCCCAAGAAAGAAGGCAGTAGCATGCAGGACATCGGCCGCGTGTGTGGAGTTGTGGTATGAATTGGAGGAGTGGTAGTTGGCTTCAATCACCTGCAGCCACGCTCGCAGCGTTGCTTCCGAACAGTTCAAGAACTCAGAGACCCCAAACCGGGCAAAAACTTTTAAGCCCAAGTACACTAATGGCCTGAAAAATGACAGAAAGAAAAAAGGCATTGCTATGAAACAGGAGCTTGTGATGTTCTAAAAGCCATCCATTCAACAAAGAAACCAACCAGACCTTGAAAATAATGAGGTGTGAGGAAGTGCACATATCTAGCCTCTTAGAAGCCTGACAAGTTTACAAGTTATTCTATCTGCCACCTTTTCAGACATCATTTTCACAGAATCACAGAATCAATCAGGTTGGAAAAGACTTCTGAGATCATCAAGTCCAACCCATGACCTAACACCCTAAGTGCCATGTCCAGTCTCTCCATAAACACCTCCAGGGATGGTGACTCCATCACCTCCCTGGGAAGCACATTCCAGTATCTCATAATCCTTTCTGGGGGAAAAATTCTTCCTAATGTCTAGCCTAAACCTCCCCTGGCGCAGTTTGAGACTATATCCTCTTGTCTTATTGCTTGTTACCTGGGAGCAGAGAGAAACATTTTAATGTTTTGTAGAAAAGACTCAGTTCCACTAGAGTTTCAACAGTTCCTGCTATTTTGTTAAAAAACACTATCTTAAAAGGCCAGGTCTTTTGTGGGTTTAGTATTTGTCAATCAAACAAAAGTACATTTATTTTTTCCTGAGGGGAAAAAGTAGACTTTGAACACAACATGGGCACATCCCACAGGCTAAAAGCCCTTAGACAAAGAAGGGTCAAATGTCAACTCCATGTGTTTGTGTGTGTGTACCTATAATGTGTGTGTGTTTGTGTATATATAATCATGGAATCACTGAGGTTGGAAAA